CTATAACTTAGATAGTATATAGTGTAACTTTACATTAGCTTTGATCTAATAAAGATACCAGCGAGGCTGCCAATATATAAAAAAAAAATAAATAAATAAATAAATTAGTATTAAAAAATATAAATATTATTAACAAACGATAATATAAAACATTATAATAAAATAAAAATTAAGTTATTTAATAGTAAATATTAACTAATTTTAAATTTTGTGTTATTTAATATATTGTAGTTGTATTAACTAATGTTTTACTATTGATTAATACATTTTTTGGCGATAAACAACACTTGTAAAACTTCCTGATATGAAAATTTTTTGCTTCTTTTGGAGCTCTCAAGTTGGTGTACATAGCTCTTCATGTATTAGTACCGATCGGTACAATCAGATTTATCGAATATCCGGTTGTTATTCTGCAGTGTATCATTTACTTAACATGCTTCCAAAAGTGATAATGCCTTTTACCACAGCCACTATCAGATTGGTACTACAAAAAAACCTTGGGATCTTGACTTATAGCACACAAGTATAGCACCTATCATTGATGTTAATAATATATATCATAATACTTTTGTTTCTATTTATAGATCTTGTATTTGACCAAAAGTGTTCTAATTTTGGTTAGACTAATCCTTTACCACAGATCGTCCTTATGTTCACCACTTTTCTCACTACTCTAGTTTTATTACTCGTATTATTTTTCTAAGCAAGTACCCTATACTTATCATATAGAGATGTTGGTATAGCCTCCAGGTCACCCAACCTGAGGACTTATTCAAGCAACCTTGTATAACAGAACCTTCTGTGATACCGCTGTCACGCCGTAGTGCTTTACTCTACAATTAGATCTCCTTTTAAGAATTTCGTATTCTGATCTTATGCTTTATTTGGACTTATCACAGGCCTCCGCATTCAATAACAGCCTCTTTTGGATTATAGAAGCTAAAATCCAAAGATTTTGTCTTCAGCCTGACTTAAACCATCAACCTAGTCTGTGGGGGTTTGGCAGCTTAACTGCTAAGCTATAGGGCCCAAACCCTAATAATAACTTTATTAGTTAGTTTATAGCATTATTTTATATCGTTATTATAACGTTATTAGATGGCATTATTAGACAGTGTTATTTCATGTTGTTAATTATTTTTGTAACTATTTTTAGCCTTAGAATAGCATTATGATGACTAAAATAATAGTATATAGTATTATTGCAATGATTTGCAATGATTTATATTAATAATATAATGATTTATAACATTATTTCCTAACATTATTACATGTCATTATTATATAGCGTTATCAAAAGATATATAAACACTACCTTTTCTCTAAGGCAGAGGGACATCAATGTATACTTTCCAATTAATCCTTTGAATATTTACATCGCTTCTGGGTATATTTGACCCTTCTCTTTGCCTATTTTCTTGTATTAAAAACCTATTTATTGCATAATAAACTGTAATTCTATATCAAATATATAGTGGGTTTATAGTATTTTTATTGAATTTTTATAGTGAAATTATTGTTTTTCTAGTGAAATTTTGATTTATACTCAAATAAATTTATTAATTTTTAATTATTTCTTTAGTTATTTTATAGTATTTTTGTTTTAATTTTAGGCTTTTCTTTAGTTTTTCTTGTTAAAACATTTCTTAACCACTTTTATACATTAAGTCAAGTAATATATTTGTTTGACTTAATTGGTGATGATATATTTTATTATTATCATATTTAATATTTAATTAAGCCAAGTAAGCATATTACACTAGGTATATAACCTATTGGAATTACAATCTTGGAGGCATTAGAATTATTAGTTGTGGAAGCATTATTATCATTGATCTTGGAGGTGTTACTATCATTAGTCTTTGGAGTAAATATGATTGACTATAATCGATTGTATTCTCATATCCTAATTAACCAATAAAAATTCAAGGATAACAATCCAAATGGATCTTTAATCTTCCATTTTTAATATCTTGGAGCTACCAAGTTTATTTTAATTACGGACTACTACACTCTTAAATGGCTGCATACTGCTGAACTTAAAGAAAAGACTAGAATAATAAATACTCAAGTTATAGCCTTATAACTTTGAAATTTTGCATCACATAATTCTGAACACTTTAATATAATAATAAATCTAAAGTATTAATTCAGATCATTAAATTTGTAATAATTATAGGATGTAACAATTACTACAGTATAAACAACCTAGTCCCAACCAATAAAAATTTTTAGTGACCAAATTTAGATTTTATTTTTTATATATATGAAGAGGCCAATTTGAAAATTTAGCTATATATAAAGTGGCCAAATTTAAAATTTTAATATATATAAAAATAAAATTAATTGTTTAAAAAAGCCAAATTTGCTTTTTTTTATATATATAAAAGTTGGTCAAATTTCATATTTAATTATAAAAATACTATAGCTTCAACTTGCTATAACTTTTTTATAAATAGATTTAAAAAAAATTTAAAAACTTGGAAGTGTTTAGCTTGTTTTGATTTAATATTTTAAGATAGTATTTTTTGGTTACTATTTTTTTTAAAAAAGGATTAGCAATTTGAATTACATCAATTTTATTGGTCGGGACTAGGTTGTCTGCACTGTAACTCATTGTATTCATTAATAAAATCACGTAGTAAGTGGATTTCACAATAGTATGACTAATATCATTGCTAATAAGTAAATTTTATATTTATATTATTTTATTGTCTATCAATAGCCCTCAGCTGCCAAAAAGCTTGCAACATTTAAATAAAATTCTACAGGATCAAAATTTGAACCTATTTTAATTCTCCATTTATCAGTCAAGTCCCAATGATCACATTCTACAGTTCCTAGATATTTTCCCCATTGAGCGGATTTAACACTAACCAATCCATCGTTAGCACCTTCCTTTCCTTTAATTATTTGATGAGGAAAATATAGAGGTGACCAAATCGGAATATCTGTAGAAGCACCATACGAATAGTATGCAACTGATGGATCATTAGGTGTGTTCTGATTGAAATAATTGACGCAATAATCCGTTGTGAGATTACTGTAAGCTGGAGTATCAAAAGCTTGAATTAAGGCTCGTGTGATGGGATGCAAAATGGTATATGTTGTTTGTGGAATAGAAGAGAGGCTAGAAAGGTTAATGTTTGGAAGAGAAATGTTAAAATTCGGTAAATCAAAAGAAATGGGTATGTTGAATGATTTCTTATTAGAAGCTTTAGATTGTATATTGTCAGTTTGATCCATTTTTGCAGTAACGATAGTACTGCGAGGTTCTGTTGGAAGTGGGTCTTTTTGTTTTACAATATTTTCTGCTTGAGAAGGTAGCTTTAAAGATTGTTCTTGAACCTTTGAATCTAATTTAGAAGGCCTTTGATTATTGCGATTCTGTTGGTCACGTGTTTTCTCCGCCATTTTTTTTATAGCATCATCTACAACTTTAGCTGCCTCTTCGAATGATTGACTAATTTCACCCACTCCTATATTATCCCGACACCAATCCATAAATGGACTGCCGCGGTGTGGAGTTGCTATTGTAGTCAACGTTCGAACAACATATTTCTCGGTAGGAAAATGAGCAATCAAACATCTACAATCGAGCCCACCCTTAAAGATTTTGAAAAATGATAAATCATAAAAAAAAGAGAGAAATTAGAAAATGCCACAACATCAAATAATCGAACAAAATTTTGAATAATCACATAATTGTTTGCCAAACCATCGAATGCGCCAACAAATTCACATTATTTCCTGATAAGATTGATTCTAGAGTGCGATGCAGAGCTTGGGCACGAGACTTAATACAACCGGTTCTTTACACAATAATTACCCAGTAATTGATTAATACGTATATAATAAAGGATTAGCATCTTATGATGTATGTTTAATGTGAAATGGCAAATGAAGAACAATATACCTCGGAACCTTGGTAATTATAACTTTCGCACCTAATTTTTGCAAAGCTACCTCAATACCACCCCAATAGTTTATTTGTAAATATGGAATAGAAGAAGGCCCTTAACATATAACAATTATAATAATTATAATTGAAATTAACAAATCAAAAAAAAAGTTGATTGATAAAGAATGATACAATACCTAGTTTATCGAAGCCAAAAAGGCCTAAGAAAAAATTGAATTAGAAAGTGACTATTTTATTTGGAACATTAAAAAAGATTTCGTTCAAATACCGTGGCACAAAACAATCGGTAACCTCGGAGCACGGTAGTTTGGCCTTACTGACATTTCTACCGAGTGTGAAATAGACGGGGAAATATCAACGTGTAATTAACGTTAAAGTTTGTTACATGTATATAGCGATAGAGTTGGCGTAAAATTGGGATTTGCGTTCATAATCCATGTACAATTTATAAGTAATTAGGTTACAATCAGGTAAATAAATACGTACAAAAAATTTATAAGTAATCAGGTTACAATCAGGAACATACGCACAAAAAAATTTTAATCAGGTACA